ACAAAGTCACACAAACATACCTACATATATGTTTGTGTGGCTAAAATCACTCACACAAACATATATCTGAATATACGGGTTTGTGGATACAAACACCCAAAAAAAACATACAACATACACGTCTGAGTGGTTAAAATGACTCTCACGAACATATAACTAAAATTACGTGTTTGTGGATACACACACCCAGAATAAACATGCCTACATACACGTGTGTGTGGTTAAAATCACGCACACAAACATATACCTAAATATACGTGTTTGTGGATACAAACACCCAAAATAAACATACCTACATACACGTGCGTGTGGTTAAAATCACTCTCACAAACATATACCTAAAAATACGTGTTTATGGATACAAATACCCAAAACAAATATATCCACGTATACGCGTGGGTGGATATAAACACCTAAAAAAACATATCTCCCGCGAAACAATACCCAATACACCCGTGTGTGCATACAAACACCTACACAAACATACCTATGGATGTGCATCCGTAAAACGAAGAATGTGATACATATTTGTATGGTAGGCCTCTGGGATGCTGAAGAAGGGCAGCGAAACAATACCCAATACACCCGTGTGTGCATACTAACCCCTACACAAGCATACCTATGGATGTGAATCCGACGAAGAATGTGATACATATTGTATGGTACGCCTCTGGGATGCTTAAAAACTCTTACACAAACATACCTATGGATGTGATTCCGACGAAGAATGTGATACATATTGTATAGTAGGCTTCTGGGATGCTGCAGGAGGGCAGCGAAACGATACCCAATACACCCGTGTGTGCATGACAACCCTACACAAACATACCTATGGATGTGAATCCGACGAAGAATGTGATACATATTGTATGGTACGCCTCTGGGATGCTGCAGAAGGGCACGGCAAAGATCATCATGAGCGTCACACGCGTCGCTATCATCCACAGAGCCACCATACCGTGTTGTTCCTCGGAGTTGCCCACATTGACAGCCATACCCAGGACTATGCAGTGGAGTGAAATGGATACGCAGTAAACAGAAGGAAAGGTGTGGTATTTTCATTTTGGCATTCATGCATGAAGTAGTCGAGAGTGTGGTATATCATGTACATATATCATATATAGAGAGAGATTATATATTGACAGCTTCATCCACGCGGACACCATTTCGTATTTCTTTCCGGAGATACTCATACTGACAGCCATACTCAGAGGTAGGAGAGTGAAGACAGTACGGAATAAGATTAGGAGAATGTGAGGGTATTTGACAGCCATACTCAGAAGTAGGAGAGTCGAGGCAGTACGCAATAACTACGAGAATATGAGGGTATTTGATTCAGTATTATTCCGACTAGTAATATAGTGTGGTGTACCATGCATGTATAGAGTATGAGCTTGATAAACACTAGATCGCTCTCCATACCAAAGCTCATCCCGGAGACTGAATAGGGCACATCACCAGCACCAGCATCCCAGTAGATCAAGTAGATGAACATGGATGTACAGCACACCAGCACATTGGAACATACAAGCAGAAAAACCATTGTGTGTATATACGAAACGAATACCACGCGTACGTATTAGAGAGGCACACATGATGGGTATACACAATCGCGTGAGTGATGGGTGAGAGCAGGAAGCTCAGGCTAGTTTGTCAGACTGAGGCAATGCGGGATTCAGATCTGGACCAGAATTTAGAGGTGACGGAGGCTTAGAACCACCTGAGGTCGATCCACTTGATGATAAGAAAGGCCGATTTTGATATCCTAAATTGTGGGTCTCGGAAGGAATACCGGATACACTTTTGGGGGGAAATTGGCATAAAAGTATATACTCTAGAGACTTAGACGTATTAAAGTGCAGCCCAAGACATGGGTATTTGTAGTCAGGCACAGAAGGCTACTAGGATACACACCCAACAAGAAGCCTCTTCGAGATTCAAGTATTGCAATGCAATCAGAACCTTATAAGTGTATATTAAAATGGATATTAACACTATTCTTCATATGCTTTCAGAGCTACTGTTAAGTATTGCACTATAATCAGAACACTACAAGTGTATGTTGGCAGGAATATTAATAATGGTAGACCCCAAAGCATAACTTTAAATAGAGTGTAGAAGGCCCCAAAGTAAGATGTAGAGTGTTAAAATACCCTACCTCTGGATGCCGTCTGCCAACACTGGGGGTGGCCTCTCTTTCCCCCCAGGTGGGGATCGAAGAAGCTATCCCTACGGGAATATGATTTCGAAAGGATGGATGGGGATCCTCCGGATCGCCCTTGCGGGCCAATCTCATCTTATAACCATCCCCCGCCCGCGGGGTACTCCCACAGGGAGGGAGAGGGGGAGGGTCCCGAACAACTTTAATCTCCATACACTCCCAGAGCTACTTATAGTTATGTATTGCACTATAATCAGAACCCTACCAGTATATGTTGGCAGGAATATTAATTAATAACGTTAATCTCCATATACTTCAAGAGCTACTGTTAAGTATTCATTGCCCTATGATCAGAACAATACAAGTGTATGTTGGCAGCAATATAAATTAATAACGATAATCTCCATATACTTCAAGAGTTCCTATTAAGTATTCATTGCCCTATGATCAGAACAATACACGTGTATGTTAGCAGGAATATTAATTAATAACGTTAATCTCCATATACTTCAAGAGTTCCTGATAAGTATTCATTGCCTTATGATCAGAACGATACACGTGTATGTTGGCAGGAATATTAATTAATAACGTTAATCTCCATATACTCCAAGAGTTCCTGTTAAGTATTCATTGCCCTATGATCAGAACAATACACGTATATGTTGGAAGGAGCACTAACCACCGAGATCTGCATACACTCGTGCACTATAATCAGAATAGTATAGGTGAAAGCAGGCAGCAATATCTGTCATTTAATTTCAATAAACTTCCAGAGCTGCTGTCAGAGGATGCTAATAATACAATGAGCTACGAGATGCTATGGCACAGAGATCGATGTGTATAAGGAGGTTTGCAACACTCATAATATCTGTCATCATATACTATTGCATCGCAGATGCCATCCGATTTTATTATAAGATTCAGGGTTAGTCGAGGTATGAACCTAAGTTAATACGGCGTGAGTGCACATCGATGATTCCCATCAAACACAGGAAGTGCTTAGGCTATCTACGTATCTATGTATATCTTTGCGACAGCAATGTACATGCAACCGACTAAATGTATGTACTACATTACGGCACTAATACAAATGCACATGGTGGTGTATAAATGTACTACACCGGTGTGCACAAGCTTCATGTACAAGATAGACAATATATAGAGATGTCGAAGTACATATGTACATGGCGATTTACTTGAACATAGGCAAAAAAAAATGTGATGCAAGTCTCGCGTTGGGAGAGGATATGAACCTGTGATGCAGATACACATATGTATAGTGTATATTACATGATAATTTGTAAGTACATATACACTTGGGTATCTATGATACTTACATAGTCGTAGATACATATTTATGATACAAAAAACTTAATAATAATGCATTGTATATGTTGGCGTACAAGTATATCTACATTTCAATATATATTAGCCTCGAATAGGGGTAAGTACGTATTTGTTATAAAGACTAACATATGAATAATGCTTGGTAAATAATAGTTTCCACTAACATTCACATTTGATTATATACAAGTCTTTCACATATGTACCTGTGATGAGATGGAGGGCCAACAAAGTGTCGTGGAACAACGACATGTCCAGAAAGCGGATACTGTAGTAATTGTAGATCATCCATGTCGATACAAAGGTCAGAGCCATCACCATGAAAAGAGCCTAGAAGAAGACAAAATGAAAACGACATGACAATGAGTGATACAATATGATGACAAATACGATATGGCGATGAGAAAAC